TACAGACTGAGAAACATCTGTATATCACGAGCCTTCTTAATTACTTTCCTCCAAGATGGAAAACCTCTTGAAGCTACTTGAGCACACTTACAGTGGCACACCCAATCCACAACCTCCTAGCACAGTCAAGGAAGAATCTGAAACTTATGTTAACAGAATATCAGATAAATTGGGTATTAATAAGGTTTTGGGCCAGAATCAGGAAATAATATCCATCACTAATGTGCTAAGAGTAAGACTTGAGTTGAAAGGAGCACTCTTTAAATGCCAGCCTTCCAGCTGGGCGTGATGGCACATGCCTGTAATCCCAGTACTTGGGAAGCTGAGGCAGGAGGATCAGTATGAGTTTGAGGCCAACCTGGACTACATAGTGAGTTCAAGGCCAGCCTGAACTACATAGTGAGACCCTGTCTCAAAATAAGTAAGCAGGGAAACAAACAGTAACTAATGATAATAATAATAATAATGCCAATGTTTCACAGGAATTCTGCTGGCATTTAGTGTATAGAAAATATTTAGTATTTATCTTAATTAACATAGCAGATATAATTTCTAAGTCAACTGACTTAATCATTGCATTTCTGGGTTTGATCCATTGGATTGAACCATTTCTCACTTACCTTACTGGCTTTTATTTTGTTCTGGCCTCAGTCCTTCAACACACTCAGCTTTGAGCTTTAGGTTGTGCTACAGTTTGAATGTTGAATGTCCTCCAGAGGCCTGTGTGTTAAAGGACTGGTCCTCACTTTAACAGTCTTGGGAATGGGGGAATGGTTGAGGGTGGGCCTAGTGGGAGCCCCTGAGGTCACTGCAGGGGATTGTGGGGTTCCTGCACATCCATCCTTGTCGTTCTGCTCCACAGCTCATGCAGTGAGCAGTTTGGGCTGTCATCTGCTCCTACAATGATGTGCTGCCTTTGCCCAAGGTCCAAAGAAATGGGGCTGTTTGAACTTGGATGGGAACCTCCAGAACTGTAAGCCAAAATGAACCTGTTCTCTTTATAAATTAATTGCCTTAGGTATTAAATTATAGTAAAGAGAAACTTACGAATAGAGATTTCTTCTTTGACACATTTCTATCTATTCCAGAAAATTTATTTTAAAATTCCCTAATAGTAAATTTTTGCAACCATGGTCCCCTTTATCATATGCCAAACTCCTAAGAATGCTGCTCAAAAGAAGCCTTAGGTAACTGGGAATGAGATCTGTAATTTAAGACAATGTGGGTGAACTACCAACAGTGAACTGCATTTGGATCTGACAGTGAAATACTCTGAGATAAATCTATCTTTCTAGAACATGCAAGCAGACTTTTGGAAGTTGCTTTTGCACTTTCAGGTCTCTAGGGTACTAGGGTACCAAATGCTCACACCCCCATCAGAATTACTCTGAGGCTTTCCAAGCTCTCGTTTTACTCCCAAGGATCAGCAAATCCTGGGAGCCTTAGGTCAATGTGTCACTCTGCCAATTCAAGGCAGCAAAAGCATCACTCATCAGAAGGGCATTTTCTGTGAGACAGCACCACCCCTCCGTGGATACTGAGCTTGCAGAAATGACATGTGCTCCCGGAACAGCCTTTTAGGAAAAGTTAACTGGGTGACACCACTGAACTGTGGGTGCCTGGAGGCCCGAGGTGAAAATGCAAATTTTTAAATATAGGCTGAAGTGCCCACAAAACAATGTCAAGCGAGAAAAGCTGAAACTCTACCTAATTGCTTGTTACCTTCAGTTTTGTCAACTTCACTTGACCTGCTGGTCCTCCCTGCAACAGAGCTGCTGGTTCCTCCTTTCACAGCCAAATTCTCAGAGACTTGACCTGCGTGTGGTCCTCCTCCCTCTGTTTCTTGGGAACGTTATGTCTTGTCATGATTGAGTTTTACTTCTGCTGTCATGACTCTTTGCAAATTACATCTTATGAAGTATCTTTCCGCTACTTTAACCTAGCCCAGTGGGTTGCACACAGTAGAGGTTTAATGAAAGTTTTAATTCAATAGATGTTTTAGTTGATGCTTTATATGATCAGAGGCCACTCCTGACCTCTCAGTCAAAACTTCACTGAATCTCAGTGGCGCTATACCCCTTTTCACTTTTTGAAACCATCTTTACTCCAAGGGGTGTTGGAGTGAAATGACCAATAGAGGTAGATGCCAAATGACATTGGCAATTATTCACCCAGCACTTAAAGCCTGTGTGTGACTTTGGTGGAATGATTTAAAAATCTTTCTAATCTGTCTAATTCCATTTTCCCTCACAATTCAGCTTCTATTTGATAAAACTGGGGTAAAGATGAAATGGATTCATGTTAAAGTACTTTGTAAAGTAACCAAGGTACATATGAGTGTGTGTATTAGCTATATACATGCATATATTTTAAGTTTAACTGACCTTTTCTTATTGTGTCAAAGGAGTATAAAATTAATGATAGTCACATGTGAACATTCCTAAAACCTCACAGGTCTGGATGAGAAAGGGACGGTCATACATCTATTATTTTTAGTCTCAATTTTATGAATTCCCATGCTGATCCTTATAATTTCTTTCATCCTACTAGTTTTGGGTTTGGATTGTTGTTTTTCTAGCACCTTGAGGTTTATCATTTAGGTATTTATTTGGGATTGCTCTATATTCTTAATGTGTATGTTCACAGCTATAAACTTCCCACTTAGGGGGAAGCCAGTGAAGTAGTATTACATAGGACAAGAGTGCATGTAAGAGAAGCGACAACATGAGAGACCAGTGAGTTTGAGGGTAAGGATCAAGAGCAAGACGGTGCTGGAAGATAAGCAGGAATGATGGAAGACATCAGACACAAACTTGTAGAAGATTGAGTGCTGTGCTAAGAACACTTGGGTGATATCTGAAGGTAAGAACATGGCAGTGGGATGATCTCATTGAGTTGTCAAACATGTAACGGCTACAGTGTGGGGAGTAGCTAGTAGTGCAGAAGGGAGATGAACGAAGTACTGCAGTCGTCCAGACACTGATAGGACTTCTCTCAGGGATGTCATCAAGGAGGTGAAAACATTTAGGCATATGTTTTTGGGGAATAGTCATCAAATATAAAAGCTTTTACGGACATTTAATCTCTTTATAATTTGACTACCATCCTCCATTTTAACTTGAACTTACATTTTACTCCTACGTACCCCTTGGGGTTAGTCGAGCTTTGTGTATTCCAGATCTCCTCATTAAAGTACATCATCCTTATAACTAATCTGCAACCTTTTGCATGGTAACATGCCTTAAGAATATGTGGATATTCATTTTATAAATTGATGCAAGTAGAATATGAATTCATAAGGTAATATTAATAAATTCTTAAAAACATAAAACGTGAAGGTAAATGAAAATTCTAAGTATCTCTGCCACTCTTGTGGTTGTCTCGTGTTTCACACGCCTGTCAGTGTAAATGCCTGATGAGCATATGTTATGGTTTATGTCTGTGTGTCCCCCCAAAGCCTCCTGCGGCCCTGGGGCAGGCTATTAGAGTTTGAATATGGATGTGAGAGCTGCACCCACCCGGAGTGGAGAATTTGCATATGTAAGGGAGAGGAAGAGAGTGCTTGAGGGCATTCCTCCCCCATTCCGCCCTGGTGTGTGGTGGTTGCTTAGCTGTGTGCTGTCATCCTGAGATGCAGCCCTCTGCAATGTGCCACTCTGCCTTATAATCTGCCAAGTACGGATTGAAACTTCCATGAACTGTAAGTGAAATAAACCTTTCCTTCCTTAATTTTGGGCATCAGGTATTTTGTCCCAGCAGCGAGAAAAAAGTAACCAAGACAGCATATCTCTGGATCATCAATTTCTACTGACTCTTTAAAATTAATGTCAAACTACTTTCCTATGAAATCTCCCTAAAGCTTCCTTTGTTCTTGTGTCCTATAAAAGTTTAAATGCTACCACCTTAACTAAACCTAACATTTATCACAGCCACAGTAATATTTGTTCACTGGAGGAAGAATTTAACAATTTTAAACAAATCCTTCTTAGTCATTCATTAACCCAAGAAAGTATCCATTGTGAACCGTGAATCAAGTCGTGAGGTATCAAAAAGCTACATGATCAGCAATACTTCTTCTTTTGTAGAACTGATCTTGAAGGGAGGACGTGGTAAAAAATAAATAAATAAATCATAGACTAAGATAACTTTAACTGAAGAGTGATAACTTTCTATGGAGAAAATCACGTAATTGGGATACTGATTGGTTGATATCATGCATGAAGGTCACTAGGAACTTGCTAATGCAGCTCTCTATCCTGTAGGATAATGTCTCAAAAGAGTTAAAGTCAACAGAGGTGAATTACAGATGTTTGCCTTTCTAGCTGTGTGGTTTACCTGTCATCATCTATTTGACTTTATCTCTACCTCCACTGTTATTAAAATTATTCAAAATTCACTGGTCACAGTGACCAATTCAAAATTTGAAAGGCTAGCTGGCTCATAATTTGTACGTCAGTATAAGAAGTCAGCAAGGCTAATGCTAGCTGACATAACAAACCCTCAAATTTCAGCTACTTATACTTGAGAAATACATTTCTTATTTACATAACGACTCAGTGTGAGTGTTATTTGTCAGCAGATGACCTTTTGAGACCCTAGACCCTTTCACCTTTTGGCTTCATTTTCCTGTGAGACATTAGAGCTCTCCACAGTCAGCCCGCAGATAGGGACAGAGGGAAAGAACACAAGTGAGCCTGTAATGCAAGTGGTGATACACATATTCCAGGAAAATGAGGCTATGTTTCTGCAGAGGTAACTGGGAAATTGCTGCGGACTTGCACAGCTCTCGGTGATCCCAGGGAAAAAGGGTCAAGAGATCTAGAAAATAAAGAAAAGAAAGGAAAGCTGAGGTGAAGTGGAGGCCTTCTTACAGACGGCAAAAGAGGACTGGACAATCACAGTACTGGTGTTTATTTATACACTCAGGAGGTTGGTGTCAATCTCAACCTCTCTGCCTAGCAACCAGCTTGCAAGCTGGAACAGCTTGTTTACACGGCTCCAGGAGCTCCCTGTGTTTTCGGTGGGCTTTGTCTTAGCCCCACAGGTGTGACTGATTTCCAGCTTCAGCGGCTCCCAACAGGAAATGTCTTCCCCCATGGTTCTGGAACAAGAGAAAATGGGTTTTGTGAAAGGATGGTAAGTTTTTGTCACAGACTGCTTTTGCAGTGTTTTCTCAGGTCAGAAAAATGTTCAAATTTATTTATCATCACAAAGCCAATGAAAAGTGGCTGTGATAAAATGGGAGTGACTTAATCTCCAGTGATTATTTTTTCTGATGCATTTAACTTCTGATGTAGTTAAGTTCACATGCCCAATTTGCCCTCACAAACTGTCCTATTTTCACAAATCTAAAGAATAAATCATGATGCAATGATGAATTACAAATATAATATTTCAATGCAACACTTCTTGCCACAAGTAGAAATTCATAGCATATACTCTCCAGCTCATTAAACTCAATGCCTCAAAATAGATGGAAGCAGCATTTCTTCTTCAGATAAAGGGATGGTGGCTACACTAGCTGTGAGAATGACTGCCAAAGAAATGTGTAAATTCATTCAATCATAAGCTCTTTGCCCTATGGTGGTGCTATAATAATCCTTGTTGTGCTATTGCTATATGCAACTTAAAAAATCAGACTTAATTATTCTACTTGGTCATATGGGTAAGCCTTTGTTCATCACTTTTTAAATTTGACAGTGTCTAGGGTAGATTAGTAGCTTGACAAATCTCAGTGCTTTGACTTTTTAATTTATTGTGTAATTTTTGTTCATACCATAGCTTCTGGATTTTAGGCACTATTGATAATTCTTGGAAGCTTTGGAATTGTGTTATGATGCTTTAAGTTTACCATTACCCCTGCATCAAGGGAGAAAGTTAATTATTATATTAATTGTATTAGATGTGAATAGGAAATCGAGAGAGTTTAGGAAAAATATGTATAAACTTTTTTAGTTCTTATGTACAGGAATGGAAGGAGAGGAGAGCAGTTATTAGCCTGAGGAGGGCACTCTGAGTCTGGAACTCAGCCAGAGGTGACTTTAGCTGCGGTCACCTAAATCAGGAAAGCTGGGAAATTAGACAGAGGCAGAAAGATGAAGCTAAGCATAAATTTAGAGAAGAGGAGAAATGATCGGGTACAGAGGACACAAAAAATGAGATCGAATCTTTTATTAATTCAACTTGAGCATAGTCATTAACAATAGATAATTCTTTTACTTCTGCTTTCTTCCTTTTCAACTTGTCTTTGCAACCTCGTTTGAGTTTCCATAAATGCTGCTTTCTTTATAAAGGTCTCCTCTCTGTATAGCAAAACTTATGGGCCAATATAAAGATTTCCTCTGCTATCACTTTCTACCATGTTCATGAGGTAACTACTCATTATTTACTTATGCACACAATTTAATAAAATATTTGTTTATAGCCATGCTATCTAATTTTGTCAGTTATTTATGGTGTACACCTCTATTATGCCTCTTTTATGTGTCAGTTCCAGGTATATAAAAATGCAGTAATAAAAATATATTGATATCAAGAGCCTTATAATCTAATGGGAAGAGACAAGCATGTAAATGAACAATTACACATAATTCAACAACTCCATTCAGCGTGTTTGACTAAAGAAATCCACTTGCTTTTTTTCCACGATACCACCGAAATGACAGAAGAAATATAAAAATAAATCATAGTACAATTAGAGCTACTGGGCATGCCATTGGGCAGAAAACAATGTCACTTACTTATTTATTTTTTCTTTCTTTAATTAGTATTTGTTTTTAATGCATAATGTTGATCTTCCTTGTGTAGAGTTGGAACATGCATATAACAGATTTTAATTCCATTTATCATCTCCTTTCCTTTCCCCTCCCCCTCTTCTCCCCCTTCCCATTTGAGAAAGATCTAACAGCATGTTTAGAAGTCACTATCAACCTGCTAGATATGCTGATGAATTTTTGGAAGACACAGAACAGATGGAATTGGATTGACAGAGGGGTGCCTGTGACCCATAAATTGAAAGCGGATACCATTTAAGTGTGAATTTTCCCTGCTGAATAGAAGGCAAAGTCCCAGATCAGAGATTCAAGACTTGCAAAAAAGAAATAAGCCCAAAGATGGTCACTGTGGCGATTATCAAAAAGTCTGAACCAGCATTTGCTGCAGTTTATAAACATAGAAAAGATTCTTAAAACAAATGGAACAAAAATTCAGCACGAATATTGATTCCAGGGTAAGAGTGGAATAAAGCAGGAGAGAAGAGCTCCGAGGCTCAGAAGGCAGCTTCCTCTGCTTATATTCTCCTGTTCCCAGTACCTGCTGAGAAAGCAGAAGAAAAGTGCGCAAAGAAAGTAAGTTTTCTGATATGAATCAAGAATTGGCAGAGTAGGAAGAAAACTAGAACAAGCAAACAATAAAGATACATACATGTTTCTTTCTATACGAACATGTTCCCTTCCTCCTTTTTCCTCTCTTCCTCCTCCTTTTTATCCACCCACCCATTCACCCATCCATTCAGCCATCCATCCATCCATCTATCCACCCATCCACCCACCCATCCATCCATCCATCTATCCACCCATCCATCCATCCATCTATCCACCCATCCATCCACCCATCCATCCATCCATCCACCCATCCATCCATCCATCCCAGAGAAAGTACCAAAAATTCAAAATGCTTTCCTCTATGTGGAGATACTACAGGATATTTTACATTTTATTTTTCTGTATTTTTCCCTAACATATCTTACTACCACTGCTCTACACTTTTGATTAACACCACCAGCTTATGTTTTGTGCCAGGTTCTAGTGTATATCTGTATTAGTTAGGGTTTGTCAGAAGAAAAAAAACCAAATATATATTACATTAGTTATATTATTTATGTCATATTATGTTATATTATTAGGTCTGATCCTGAAGAGGAAAAGCCTCAATAGCTTCTGCAGAATCAGAGGTGGAAGAATCTAAAATGGCCATCTGTGTACTGCAGAAATGAAGCATCCAGTGGCAGTGAAAAGTCAAAGGCCTGAAAGTTCCCTGCAGTCACCAGTGTGAGTCTGTGTTGGAAGGTGGAAATGTCCCCTCTGCAATGCCAAAGAGGCTGCACTGCAGACTGAAGAGTCTGTACTGCAAAGCCGCCTGGCCTTTCAGAGCAGCCCGGAGACCAACATCCAAATGCAATGATAAAGACAGGATTTCTTCCAGATAAGAAAAAGAGAGATTTCCTTCTTCTTTCTTTTATTCTTCCATCCCGGGTACAAGTCTACTAATTAGTCCCGCCCACATCCAGGATGGGTCTTCCCTCCTCAGCTTTCAGCTTACATGTCAATCATCTGCTGATGCACCCAGAGCTTTACTAAGCTGCTAGGCAATTCTTTTTCTTTTGTTTTGGTTTTTCTCCGGTACCGGGAACCGAACTCACGACCTTGCGCTTGCCAGGCAGGCGCTTTTGCCGCTGAGCTAAATCCCCAGGCCCTGCTAGGCAATTCTTAACTAAAACTGACATATCACAACTAATGATCACAATATTCTTTCCAATAACTTATCTTTACAATTATATTTTAAGGAAAATGAAACTGAAGTATATTATTTACATAATTAAAATAGTAATGAGTTATAATTTAACCTCTATTCAACTCAAAGATCTTTTCTGTAATGCTCTTGTTGCTGTTTCAGTCTTTTAAAAAATAAGGGCACAATCTTTCATCATCAGCTCATTCTTTTGATGGGATTTTTAGGATAATCTGTTAGTTCAGCTTCTCTGTAAGTTGTTCTGGGTGTTGTCCTGCGATAGTATCAGCTCCTTTTAATATGTGCTATTTTAGAATGATGCAGGTAATGTTGGCACTGCTTTTCAGTTTTACAAGAGTTTGATAAAATAAACATAACAGGAGTCTAAAAAGGAAGATATTTTAACATTTCAGAAAATGAAAGTTAAGTGGATAGTCCAGGCAGAAGCTGCTTCACACAAAGACGGTAATAAACATGAAATGAGTTACCAGAGAAAGAAACTGGAGAAAAAGATTGTAAATGAGATTGAGTCACTTAGATTTATTTTTCAAGAACAGTCAAGGATTACTGGGAATGGAAAATGGTAAAATTGAGGTCAATTGACAAGACGGGGCCAATGCTATGGAAACTCAGCTACGCTTCTAAGATCCACATTACGTCCAGGCCAGATTGTGTCCCTCAGCGAACTTTAATAATATCCACACCAAAAGAAGTATGGGGGAAAATTAATATATTTACAAAAACATCAGCATTTCATCTCCTGCCAGAAATGTTGATAGCAGGGGTTACAAAGGCTAGTACTTATGCCTAATAAAGAAAGAGCAAAAACCTTTTTTTGTCAAACAAGGCATGTTCTTATATATATATATATTTCATTTTACTTTCTTGGTCTTTTTGAGACGGAGTCTCACTATGCAGTTCAGGCTGGCCTTGAGCTCACTTTGTAGCCCAGGCTGGCCTCAAACTCACAGCCATCCTTCTGCCTCAGCCTCCTGAGTGCTGGAATTACAGGAGTGCGCCACCACACCTGGCATGTTCTTATTTAGTCCTAACCTACTTTTTTACTCAGAATAGTTTGTCATTAAATGCTTTCCTGACAAGATACGTGACAGCTGTTTGTGCCAGCTTGAAATTCAAATTTAAGAGCTTAAAAATCTATAGTACAGCTTTAAGGAAATATGATAAATGTATAGTGGCATATTTTCTGTGTTTTTCCCTGACAGTTTGGCCTAAACTTGACTTATCTGAAATCACTATATCTTGATTAAGTGGAACTCAATCCTCCCAGCTTCTGAGGCCAAAAATTTAGGTTTCCTCAGTTCTCCTTTCGCCTCATTCTCTACCTTGAAACTATTGGCAAAATCTATTGGCTTTGCCTTTTAAAGTAATCCTAAATCTGGCTCTGGCACTACCTCAGTTGGCAGCCTTCTAGCCCGGGCTGCCGTCACCTTTGCCTACATTTTATAGTAACCCGGTGACCAGCCCCTGTGTCTGTTCTCCTCCTCCTGTGCTGTGAACACAGCAGCTACAGTGATATCAGGGTTTGCCGTTCCCCTCCTCAAAACCTTCCAGGGCTTCTCTTCATAGAGAACAAGCTAAAACATCATTCCATGGCCTTGAGGGTATCACGTACTCTGGCCCGCATTACCCTTTTGGACTCTAGCCGCTGAACCCTGAAACCCTTGAGTGTAGCAGGACAGCTGGGGCCTTCCTGTTAGGCATCTGCTTGGAACAGTCGTCCTACCAGCAAACATGACTTGTCCCTCTTTCTTCCCGTGATGAGTTAGGTATCACCTTTCACTCAGTCTGTTTAGAATGACAACCTTCTCCAACACGCTTCAGTCCTTCACACAATCTATTTTCCCCTGCAATTCTTATCACCTTCTAGTACAGACTATAATTTGTGTTATTTTTATCTCCCTCAACTGCAAGACAAGCTTTTTTATTTGTTTGATTTGATTACGTTTTGTTTACAGCTCTATGCTCTTAGACAGTTCTTGGCATATACTGTAGTAGGTGTGACAAAAAATTCTTCATAGATAAAAGTTGTTTATGAAAAGTACAGCCTCCAAAATGATCAACATGACTTTTTGCAAAACCAACACTGCTGTTTTTCTGGGTCTCACTTGGTATAAAATTGGTGCAGTATGTGATAGGATGGTAAGATTTGTCATGGTGGTCAGGACTTTAATTGATAGCCAACTTTGCCGTTAATCACATCTCGGAAGAGCGTTGTTGACTATGAAGACAGAAATTATTCTAGTTCATTATATTTTAAAACAATTTGTACTATATATTTCATGAACATTTGCCTTCCTGAAACCAGAAAGTTAACTGAGATGAACTATTTTAGAAAAAAAACCCCCTCTGACAAACTAATCTGGGTGAAAAAGTAGGTGGGGATTAAATAAGAATATGTCGGGTGTGGTGGCACACTCCTGTAATCCGAGAACTCGGGAGGCTGAGGCAGGAGGATTGCTGTGAGTTCAAGACCAGTCTGGGCTACAAAGTGAGCTCAAGGCTAGCTTGAACTGCATAATGACACTCTGTCTCAAAAAGACCAAAAAATAAAATTTAAAAAAAAGAAAAAAAAATATGTATAAATAAGAACATGCCTTATTCGACAATAAAAGATGTTTGCTCTTTTTTTATTATGCATAAGTACATACCTTTATTATACTTTTGTATATACTATTCTCTGGTACTTATATTTGAAATTTCATTCTAATTTTCAAATGCATATCACAGTTTTAAAAAGTATGAAAATAGAATGCAAGACCCAAAGAATTTACCAAAGGAATAATTTCAAGAAATGAGAGCTCTTGGTTTAGAATCAGCAGAAGTCTCTTGATTCTACTATTTGCCTTTTTTCTTGACTACCTTGTGGTCAGTCCAAAGGTTAGAATCTCAGGAATTTAACAGTTTAAAAGTTCTGCTTCAGGAAACCCCATGGCGGAGACAGACTTGAGTCTGTCTTAACAGTGTTAGCTGGAGCAAGAAGGAAAAGTATCAGACCCAGTCATTTGGGTAGAGTTTGGGAAGATATCTTCCTGGAGAAATGCAAAGGGATTTTGTGTTTAGATGAAGTTTATGGAGTTGTTTGTAAGATGATAGCTTTATTTCTAAGTCTTATTTAAAATGAACAGATAGCAAATGACTAAATCATAGTCCAGTTGCCCAAATATCTATTACTTATGTTTCTTACCTCACTCCATTAGTTTTATTGATTTTTCTGGTCTCATGGTCACTGTCTCATCTTCCAGGAAGCATTTCCTGTTTCCTCCAAATCTGGGCTTGGAGCCCCTTCCCTGGTCTTCCCTGTTATCTTTTCTTTTTTTTTTTTTTTTTTTTTTTGGTCTTTTTGAGACAGGGTCTCCCTATGCAGTTCAGGCTGGCCTAGAGCTCATTTTGTAGCCCAGGCTGACCTTGAACTTGCAGCAATCTTCCATCCTCAGCCTCCTGAGTGCTGGGATTGCAGGTGTGCCCCACCACGCTCGGCTTTCCCTGGCATCTTGCACTACCTTCATCACAGTGTGTGAATTCTGATTGTTCTTTTGGTAATTCTGTTCCCCAAGGGTGGATGTGAGTGGCTCTGGAGGAAGGAATGTTGATGATATTGGTTCTGGCTGGATTCTTCGTACCTGGTTGTTATGGTTGATACATTGTGTCAACTTGGGGAGTCTAGAGGTTTGGCTAAGTGACTCAGCAGGAAGCCAGGGTGCTTACTCTGTATACATCCTGAGCCTGTTGCAGAGGAGGGCATGGAGATTATGTGAGAGCTACACCCCCTTAGGTGGGGGTAGCCTGTTTACAAAGCAAGGCAGGGAAAGAAGCTGCTTGCGGCCATTCCTCCCTTTTTTGCTCTGGCTGTTTGCTGTTCGGCTGCCATTCCCTCCTTTGTTCCTGTTGCTTTGCTACCTTCTGCCTCAGAGTCAGCCAAGTATGGACTGAAACCTTCACAAACTGTAAGCTAAATAAACCTTTCCTTCCTTCATGTCGGGCATTGGGTATTTTGTCTCAGCACCTACACAGTTGATCATGCAAAGGTTATATGTTGCATATGCTAAAGGAGTGAACATCTTCCTGTGACTGTCATAGCACTGAGATGGAGAAGGAAGACAAGCTTATCTGGACAATAGTTAGAAATGGAGAAAAGAGATCCAAAAATTTCAGCAGCAAACTACTTAAAATTTTAAAACTTATACTCAGTCACTAGGACTACAGCAATTGTGATCTTTCTGTTTCCTTGACTTCTAACCCTCCAAACTAATTCCAAACAGAATTTATTGTAACAAGGAAAAAAAAAAGAGATACATAAGCTACTGGCTTTATATTACTAGATTCGAAATGGAATTAAAGTTATTTGTTTTGGTGTTCCTTGATTATCCCTGCTGCCTCCTGCCGATAACAGATCCCTATCAGATGTAGTTGAGAGTTTGATTTCACCTACAGATATCCTTTCCTGAATGCCTTTAAATTGTTCTCTTCTTTCCCCTTTTAGCTTTATGCTTTTAGTTTCCAGTGGGTTAGATTAATCCTTCCGCAAAAGCAGGAAAATAAAAAAGAACAAGAATTCAAAGAAATGTGTCCCTTGTGTGCAATTGATTCCCAGCAGTTTGTTATTAAATCTTTAAATAATTAAATACAACAGAAAACATTAAAGCGACATTAAAAAGCCAACCATATGTTGAAAATATAAAAGGGGAGGAGAGATGGGTGGGGAGATGGTCATAGAATTAAAACTCCTTTTCATTAACCTTGTCCTATGGTACCTTTGCTGATCATTTCTATGCTGGACCAGCCTGCAGGATCCTTTTTTGTGGGTAGGTTGAGCTTAGGGGAGGAGGGAAGTTCTTTATCTGAAGGTATTTGCCAAGAGGAAAGTCAGTGGGAAAGGAGATACAAGCAAAGACAGTGTGAGTGTAGGACTGAGGACTAGATCATTAAAAGATTCTTTGAACAAGTTGTTCTGTTTGTGTTATCAAGAATGTTCCTAAGGTAGCTCACCCTCCTCCTTCCCTTCTTGAATGAAATGCCTGAATTGCAAGGTGACAAGCCAGCAGAGATAAGAATGTAAAAAGCTGCTACAGGTGATTCCTGGGTGTGGGTGTGTTAAATACAAGTTAGAAAACTGAATATATAATACCGGGAAGAAGAAAGCAGGGGAAAGTCAAGGTCATGGACACTGAAAGCATGAAGAATGACATGCGGCATGGCTGTGTTTTTAGGATTTAAATGAGTCTCCCCAAATTCATAGGTAGGTTTTAAACCCTTGTACCTCAAAATGCAACTTTTTGGGAGCAGTGTAGCTATACATGTAAGTAGTTAATATGAGGTCACAATGGAATGGCCTGGGCCCTTCACTCAATGTGGACACAGATTCAAATACAGGCAAAGCAAGATCAAGGCATAGATTGGGATGATGTTTTGTAAGCCCAGGGTTGCCAAAAATTGCTGACAGGGACATGGAAGAGTTTCTTCTGCACATCCCTCAGGAGGAGCCAACCCTGGTGACACCTTGACCTCAGACTTCTAGCCCTTAGAACTGTAAGACAATACATTTAGATTAAGTACTCAGTTTTTCGTACTTTGTCATGGCCCAATCCTTCCAAACTAATTCAGTGAGTACGAGCCTGGTTGTGAGGTCCATGTTGTTTTTGCAGTACAGTTGGCATGATTCCACCTCATAACATATTGCTGCCGGTCAATCAGCACATGCTCCCGTATCACACTGCTGCCTCCCAATTAGCCAACACTGTGTTGCTGTGCATCAAGTGGCGGGCACATCTGGCACTCCTACTAGCATTCGACACTGTGCTGGGGA